CTGTGTGTGTGTGTGTGTGTGTGTGTGTGCGTATGTGTAAGAGGGGAGGGGGGTGGTGGGTAATAAGTGATATTTTACTTCAACATCTCACGCACAGTGTCTCTCATGATTTGTGTGTTAAGCTTGTTTCCGTTAAAACATTAAAAAGTGACATTTTGTAAAGGAAACATGTAGCTTTTGAGTTAAAATAGACAATTAAATGCCTCAGTGGATATTTGGCGGGTGCCTTGGTGATAGTTTTTATTTCTGTCCTACCGAAACTCTGCTGTCCTTATCTATCACCCTTCTTTTCTTTACGCATTAAATCCTAAAACACTTGTAATATTTGGGACTTACTCGTATATGAATAGTTTGTGTTGCAAGAACCGCAAAACTCTAATTAAAACAAAAAAAAGATGATTCATCACAGTCTATACCTCGTAGCCCATTGGTCATTAGATCATTACAGTACACAAGAACACGGGACATGATTTTGTTTTAGTAAGAGTTTTACGACGCTTGCAAAACGATGTCACAAAAACGATAATGACATGGGAAGCTACAACAGAGTAAATAACAAACAACCCAAAAAATAATAAGGAGTGGAGATCAGAACGATAGATGTTTGACAGCAAAGAAGCAGCAAACCACACGAGAGCACCCGCCAACTGCTCGCCGAGAGAGTCTTACAAATAGGATAGCATGCATGCGAGTATTTTCTTCTTAACATTTGTATCAGCTCTTATTTAAAGAGAAAGCCCAACACACATATTCTATTTCTCTGTATGCCATTTTGCGATGTGTGTCATTAATCGTTCTAGAAAAAAATTGTCTTGGAAGTCAATTTGTTTTTCTTGTAATTTATATTATTGATCATCCATTATTTTTTGTAAAATGGCTACATACAATTAAATCGTTTGGTATCATGTTGAAACGCGGTGCCGATAACCTCGGTCGAAACCCAAATTGTGATATCTTGACTTCCGGTTTTCTGGACAGTTTTCAAGATTCGCTTAACGGTCTCTTACCTCGGTGTTGTTCGACACGGCGACCAAAATGGTAGTTCTTGTCCATAGATTTGTATTATAGTATCCTAGATCATGGACTGAAGTAATTACGGTTCACTATTGAATGCGTCGTTTGACTAAGTTTAAGATGCATTGCAGGAACGGGGAAAAAGGCGGGGGCCTGTGCTTGATCATAACGAGACTGGTGTTTTCCCCTACTTCTTGGCGAAGTATGTGCATGTTTCGCAGCGTTGTTGTTGTTGTTTATGGCAAAGAACAGAGCCCATGCCAGTTCACGGTCTAGGATATTATCTCAACCTAAATCCATGGATCCAAGTTGCAAGTAAAGAACCTCAGAGTATTGCAATTGGTCTTACACCCATGCCATACCCGGGCAAGGGGGAACTCGACTATAACTGGACTGGTGCTTTGCCCTATCTTTGCTCTTTGAGTGTAATACATTTCTTCGTCTGAATCATATAGCGGTGGTCATTATTTGATATTCATTCTTTTTCTTGTCTTACTCCGATGCTCTCAGAAACGTACAGAATTCGGGTCTTTCCTCATCATCAATCTGTTCAGCTTCTCTGAGTAAGTTATTGTATTGTTTGTCTACCGCTGGTTTTTGGTTTTTCCGCCGACCTGGCCAATGTGGAGGGAAATTATATCCCCTTC